TCCATTTTTTAATTGGTTTGTTTGACTTTTTCTTTGGAAGTGTTGCAGCTGTCCATATATTTTAGAGATTAGACCCTTGTCTGATATGTTGTTACAAAATTTTTTTTTTCCCAGTCTGTCGGCTCCCTTTTTACTCTTTTGTTGAAATCTTTTGATGCACATAAGTGCCTGGATTTTAGGAGGTCCCAGTCATCTATTTTGTCTCCTACTGTTTATCTGTTTTTACTAATGTTTGATAGTATATTTGTGCCATGAACTGGAACCCTTAAATATGGTCCTATTTTTTCATTGAGGGTCTTGATAGTTTTAGGTTTTGCATTTAGGTCTTTAATCCATCAAGTTGTCTTTTCACCTTCTTAAGGAGCTCTGGTAGCGTAGTGGTTACGAATCGGGCTGTGAACCTTAAGGTCAGTGGTTCGAAATTACCAGCCACTCCGCGGGAGAAAGATGAGGCTTTCTACTCCTGTAAGGATTTACACCCTCGGAAACCCTGTACAGGGTCGCTATGGGTCGGAACCGACTCAACGGCACTTAACAACAACAACAACACATCCATAAGTATATGTCAAGTTCATCAAATTATAGCAATTTACACTTGTTTCCTTTATCAAAAATTGTTTTTTTGTTTTTGTTTTTAATCTTCCACTAGTCAAGTTCTGATTATCAAGCCATCATTGCTAGGTCAAATGGATACTATCTGTAAATTTGGGTGTTCCCCTCACTTCATATCATCTGGATGCTTCACTCTCAGCTCTAGCCCTCTGTGACTATGTCCTTGTCCATGGGTTCAGGTATCTCCAGGTCTCACCACACTTTGGACCAACCAGACCTTCTTCTTCTCTCTCTCATCTCCAGATCTATGGGAGTCTATGGAACATGGTTGAACTCAGCCCATTTCTTCATTGCTGCCTTTCCCCTCTTCCACTCACCAGTAGACCAATGTGGTTGCCAGCAATCTTACATGCCTGCACATGTGTTTCCTTTGAGTTTCAGTCTTGGAGGGTTGTAGTAATGTTTTGTTGTTTGCTTTGTGTAGGTCTTTTGTTTCTCTGGTTAGACATATTCATATTTCATTTTTTGGCTGACTATTGTAAATTGTATTGTTTTTCCAATTTCCTTTTCAGAGCTGTCTCTATTAATACAGAGGAATCCAACTGATTTTTGTATATTGATCTTGTACCCTGCCACTTTGCTGAATCTTTAAGTGAGTTCCAATGATTTTCTTGTTGAGTCTGGGATTTTCTACAGAGGCATATCATCTACAAAAAGAGTATAAAATTTTCTTTGCCAATTTGGATGCCTGTAATTTCCCTTTCTTGCCTTATAGCTCTAGCTAAGACTGCCAACATAATATTGAATAGGAGTGGTGATAAAGTGGTGATAAAGGACATCCTTGTCTGGTCTTTGTTCACAGTGGGAATGCTTTCCGTTTCTCTCCATTGAGAGTAATGTTGGCTTTTGAACTTAGTATTACTGGTTCTCCTTTGTGGGTTACTTTTCATTTTTTCCAAGTTGCTTTCAGGATTCTTTCTTTCTCTTTGGTTTTTGAAATTTTTATTATGATACGTCTTGGTGATTTTCTTTGGGGATCTATCCTGTTTGGGGTTCATTCAGCTTCTTGTATGCTTATCTTTTCATCTTTAATGGTGTCAGGGAAGTTTTCTTCCAACAACTCTTGACCATTTTCTCTGTGCTTTTTATTGTCTTTCCCTGTTCTGGAATTCTGATCACCCATAAATTGTTGTTTTTTTCATGGTATCTTGCATAAATCTTAGACTTTCTTCAGATTTTTTCATTCTTTCTTCTGACTGCTCTTCTAACATAGTAATAGTTAGAGGTTTCCCTTCAAGCTTACTCATTTAGGCCCCCATTACTTTGAAGCTACTCCTTTGTCCTTTCAATGTGTTGTTCATTTCTGAAATCTGAGTGTTAATCTTCTGGATTTCTATTTTCAGGTTTTGTATCGTTTTAAAGTTTGCATTTATTTTGTCTTTTCTTGTAGTGCTTTCCTGAATTCTTCTAAAGCTTTTTTCTTTGTTTTCCTTGCTTTCCTCTATCTTTCTGTCAGTCCTTTGAAGGTACCTAAATATCTTTCTGAAGTTCAGCATTCCAGAATTTTCACATGTTTTTGTTTCATTTGGTCTCTTGTATCTTTGTTGTGGAGTCCTGGTGTGGTACTGCAGGATATTGCACTGGAATGCAAGGTCTGTTTGAACCACCAGGTCAGTGGTTCTAACTCATCAGTGGCTCCTTTGAAACCCCATACAGTGTTGCTATGCGTTGAAACTGACTTGACAGCACTTAGCAACAACAATGACCAACATCTTTGTTGTAGTGCCTCTGCCTAGTCTGCTATCTTGCCAGAAGTCTTCAGTTGTGTTTGTATTTAAGGAATGCATACAGACTATTTTTTCCTTTCCATTTACCTTCAATTAGCTGAACTTGAGATAGGGAAGATATCAATCAAGTTTGGTAGGTTGGTGGTGATGTGCTGTGGACTCTGTTCTGACTCATAGCGACCCTGCATAGGGTTTCCAAGCCTGTAAATCTTTAAGGGAGCAGAAAGCCTCATCTTTCTCCCATGGGGTAGCTGGCGGATTCAAACCTTGAGGTTAGCAGCCACTTACATACCTATTATGTAAAGCTCCAGTCTGGTTGTGGCAAAGTACATTTTGGGAAGGTGAATTCTGCATCTCCTCCTCTCCTCTGTTGGCCAGCAGACCAGGCATCAGCAAATGCTAGTACCACCAGGCAAGTTCCTTATGTCTCAGTCTGGCAAGATGTTAATTCCAGAGAGCTGGAGGTTCCTGTCACTTATTTGTTGTGTGATCTTGGGCAAGTTTATTGTTAAGTACTGTAGAGTTGGTTCCAGCTCATTGTAAAATTATTTAAGCTTCCAATGAGCAGCTGGTAGGTTTGAACCACTAACCTTGGGATTAGCAATCCAGTTCTTATCCTACAGTACCACACCAGGAGGAAAGTGGGGGTGGGATAAAGTGTGTGTTGTTGTTATTGTTTTTAAGGGCCATGAAGTCTATTCCAACCCATAGCGACCCTGTATAGGGTTTCCAAGGAGCAGCTTGTAAGTTTGAACCACCAACCCTGCAGTTCAAAGGACTTTGCAGTCTGGCCCACAGTGCCACACCATGTAGTCAGTGGCCATTTTAGTTTTTGAATTCCAAAGGGTTTACAAAAAAGGAACCCTGAAGCAGTCTAATTACCAAAGCCAAGGTGCAAACAGCAGAAATAACTGCAGGGGAGGGTGTGGCTTAGGGTGCAATTCCAGTAGGGTGAAGAGGTTCCAAAGGGTCAGATGGGAGGAGAAGCGGGGCAATGAGGATGGGGAGAGGAAGGGAAGAGAGCAGTTCGTTCCCACAGTGTGGGAGTTCCCCAGGCTGCTTGACACTGGAGGGTGACGCGCTGTTGGCTTCTTTGAGAGGTACTCAGCTAGGCTGAGGGATCCTGGGCTGATCCCATGAGAGCCAGGTCATGGTGCCAGACTGGACCCCTAGGACAGCATATGGCATAGAGATGGGAGCAGGCCAGTGCAGTTAGATGGGGACTAGTCTAAATCCAATGAAGCACTGAGAGTGGGGGAAGCAGGTCTTTAAGGGTCCTTCCAACTCCTAACAGGGGAGCTCCACTTTGTTGCTATTAAGTGCTGTGGAATTGGTTCTGACTCACAGCAGACCCTGTATAGCGTTTCTGAGGAGGAGAGACTGGTGGGTTTGAACTGTCCACCTTTCACTTAGCAAGTCCAGTGCTTATTCTACAGTGCCACACCAGGATTCCACTTTTGTTGTTGTTAAGTGCCATGGAGTCCAGTTCTAACTCATAGCAACCCTATGAAGGGTTTTTAGGTCCCCTCAAAGCCACCACAAGCAATCACACACACTAATTCAGTGCCCTGCAGGTTAATGTGCTGATGTTCTAAATCTGCGGGTTAATGTGCTGGACCACAAGGTCAGTTTGAACAACAAAATCAGCAGTCAAGGTCATCAGTGGTTCCTTGGAAACCCTATACAGGGTCGCTATGAGTCAGGACCAACTCAGTGGCACAAGAGAAGAGCAGTAACCTCTGAATCAAATGTATATAAAAGCGCTGCCCAGTTGTTTTTGTGATGTGTCATCTAGTCGATTTGAACTCATAGGACACTATATAACACCATAGAACTGCCCCTGAGGGTTTCCTATATAATTTGTTAAGAGGACAAGGGAACTCCTAAGAAGCTCTGGTGTGGGTAGACACATGGAAAGTTCCATCCCTAGTTGCCCCTCTGGGTCTTACCCAGACGAACAAGTGCTCAGGAGTCCTGGTGTGGTGCTGTAGGATAAGTACTGGACTGATAACCATGGGGTCAGCAGTTCAAACCCACCAGCTGCTCCTTGTAAACCCTATACAGGGTTTCTATGAATCAGAACTAACTTGACAGCACTTAACACCAACACCACCAGCAGGGTAGGTGCTTTTTTCACAATGAAGCTCAACCTGGGTCCAGAGATCAGGGTGGCAGGGTTGAGCTCTGGAGTTGACCACAGAAGGCCCTTTATCTGGTCCTTGCCTCTGGGCTGGGAAGGCAGCTCCATGCCCAGCCCTCATTTCCCCAACCCTTTCAGGGCCATCTACTGTTGGAATTAGTCCTCGGATATTGTACCCCAGGTCTCCTTCCTTGATGATTCTGATGACCAAGTGGAACCCTTTGCCCTCAGTAGATACAGTGTAGGAAGAGGCAGAGTGAAATGACTTTAATGGCATAGCAACAGTTTAGGGCCAGGAGTCACAGATGAGGGGACCTTTGTGTCTTCCATTTGTGAACATTGGCAGAGGTACATAGTTGCACTGGACAATCTTACAGACAGGGTTTTCACATTGAAAACTTAATGTATACTTTAAAGTGTCAATCTTCAGAGACAATGAGTTATGACTGTGATTATTTTCCTATTCTGCCTTCTCTGAGACGGGAAGTTGCTTCCGGTCCAACTGATGAATGCTAGGTCCCCTAAGATGGATACTCATACTCCTCAGCACTGCGGCGACCAAAATCCATCCAGCCCATGTAGTCCCGGTCACTTATCCTGTGGCTGGGATCCAGGCCCTGCAGGTTCTTCATGATGGACATCCGGCCAGAGGGAACTACAAGGACCAGGGAGGGAAATAAGAGCATAATGTTTTTAAATAATAAGATACAAGAATATTGCTAGTTCAGTTTGTAAATAAGAACAACGGGGAAAACCAGGCAATATATCATGTACACCTTCTTATGAATGGCAAAGAGAGTGAAATTGCTGGACTAAGATATGAGACGAGAAGGATCGATGTCTCTGTGACTAGAGTTGTTGTTAGGTACCATCGAATCAGTGTGGACACACAGTGACCCCATGTGACAGAGTAGGACTGCCCTTAGGGCTTCCTAGACTGTAATCTTAAGGGAAACAGATCTAAAGGTCTTTTTACCATGGAGCCTCTGGTTGGGTTTGAAGTGCCAATTGAGCAGCTGAACACCAACCAGAAAGGGAAATATTTACTCTAGTATTTACATGGGTTTGCTTTGTGTTCTGCAAATATTTAGGTAAATTCATTTCTTTCTGACTTTCATGGACTAGAGAGACCCTGGGTGATGCAAATGGCTAAAGATTCCACTGCTAAAGTCAAGGCAGAAGGTTAGAGGCTACCCAGATGTGCACTGGACATAGTGATCTGCCTCCAGGCGATCAGCATGACCCTCAGCAGAAGCCAAGAACTGCCCCATTACTTGTTACTGTTAAGTGCAGGTGAGTCCAGTTCCAACTCACAGTGACCTTGTATAGGACTTCCAAGGAGCAGTGGTGGGTTTGAAATACCGACCTTGTGGTTCTCAGTCCAGTACTGACCTTACAGCACCATACCAGAAGTCCCCATTACTTACTCACTTTTAAAGTTCACACTTTAATATCTCTGAATATAATTAGTCCTCTGGAGAAGTCTTGTTTTTAAGGTAATGCTTTGGCATTACAATACTTTGGCTTTGGGATTTTTTTGAAAAAATGGAATTGACCCTCATTACTACATAAATGGAGTCCTGATGTGATGCTGTGGGATAAGCACTGGCCCACAAGGTTGGTTTGAACCACAAAGTTGGCAGTTCAAATTTACCAACCACTCCTCCGAAACCCTATTCAGGGTCTCTATGATTCAGAATTGACTCAACGACACTGAACAACAACAAAAACTAGATAAATGCTGTTTAAAATCATTCATTTGAAAGCCAATTTCCTTTTTCAAAACAATATTGGAAAAAAAAGACACAACATCAGATAAAAATCCTTAACCCAGAAGGGTGGGTGGGGAAGGAAGAAAGAGATCATTTAAATCAGTGATTTTGGTGAAAATGCAACTGCTGTACCTGAAATAGGTGCTTTGGGATGGGGGCTAGGTGCCCAAGGAAAGAGTGATTCTCTTGTGTAAGTCAGACTCAGTAGGGACAGGAAAAGATGGTTTCTTTGGAAGCATGGGACACAGTTTTGTCATATGAAATCAGTATAATGCTTTCTCCTATGCAAAATAAGGATTTCTGGTATGGCCCTGTGCATGAGCATGTGACTGTGAACTAAAGGTCGGCAGTTTAAACCCACCAGCTGCTCCTCGGAAACCTTAAACACCTCTATGAGTTGAAACCTATTCAAGGGGGACTTAACAACAACGTGCAAAGAAAGGTCCCTCAGGTGAAGGAGGAGACTACTCTATACAGTTCCTACTGAGTTAAGGCCACTAGGTTCCCACCTCTCATGATGCTGAAAGACGCTGCTCTTATCAGCTTATGTATTGAACAAAGACATGGCAGAGGCAATTACCCTGTCTTTTTGGGTCTTCAAATTAAGAAAGCTACATTAACAACAGGAATAGTCCCATAGGGCCACATTCCTACCCACCCACTCCTCGATGCCCTGCATATCTCCTCCTAACCTAGAACTAAGGGTCAACATGGCACTCTCCAGCTCCTCTAGACGTCTCCTCAGCCTGCACAGAAGAAAACCAGTCCCTGTTATTTAGCTGTTCAATATTTTTCAGGTAAACTAGTATACCTTATGTTCAGCAACACCTGCAGATCCAGTCACCTGTAACAAACACTCACCGAAGTTTGCTCTGATCATGAATGACCACACCAATGTCTGGGCACTACCAGAATTTCTAACTAATGGAAGCACAGTGACAGCTCTGATATACCCAGCAGCCTGAGTTACTGGAGGAGACACTGTGTTCAGCCTCAGTGTTACCACTCTGCCCATAGCTCTGTCCTTTGCATTCGTTTCCCCGGGTCTCGTACACTTCCCCAATGTCTAATGCAAGGCAAAGATTTACACATTATTTATGGGAGAGAATGGGAGGGTCTGACTCTTAAACTTTAAAACCCAGAATGGGTAGGGCAGCTGGCAAATTGAATAGTTTCCAGACCCTCTGGGGAGGATAGGACTTGGGTAGACTCAGCTCTGCTATTGTCTGAATGTGAAACTCATGCTGGTTATTCACCCTTCTAGAGCCCCAGTTCCTCATTGGCCAAATGGGAATAAAAACACTGCGCAGACAATATAGATGTAACACTGGAGCTCTGCTGGGCACGGGCAGGTGCACACTAAATGTAAGATGCCTGCCCAAACCCATTCCCACCCCCCAATAAAATTGCTTCTCTTTATTGAAACCTCTGAGGGACATTCCTAAAGATAAATGATTGAACACTGCGCAAAGAGTAAATCATCTTGTTTAAGACCTTTAAGCACAATCTGTATTTTTTTTGCTGTTACGTGCCATCGAGTTGGTTCCAACTCATAGCAACCCTGTATAGCACCTGGTGAGGTTTGAACTGCCCACCTTGTGGTTCTCAGTCAAGTGCTAATCCACAGCACCACACCAGATGTTGTTGTTAGATGCCATCAAATTGATCTTTGACTCATAGAGACCCCCATGGGACAGAGTAGAACTGCCTGTAGAGTTTTCTAGGCTGTAATCTTTACCGGAACAAGTGACTAGGTCTTTCTCTTTCAATGTAATTAGCAGTAAAGCAAACAGAAGCTGTTAGGTGAGTTTGAACCACCAACATTTTGGGTTAGTAGCCACGTGCTTAACCATTGTACCATCAAGGCTCCCTTATTAGCTACGCTGTAAGCAAAGCAGAAGCTGTCATCCAGTTGATTCTGACTCATGTCAGAGTAGAATTGCCCCAGAGAGTTTCCTAGGCTGTGATCTTTATGGGAAGCTGACTGCCACATCTTTCTCCTGAGGAGCCATTAGGTTCAATGTTTTGATTGGCAGTTAAGCACTTAACCACTGTACCACCAGGGTAAAAATCTGATACAATCTCAAAACATGTAAAATATTCAAAGAAACGGAACAGTTTTTGTAATGTGTGTCCTAGGAAGCAATGTGGTAACTGATTTTTTTTCTGGAACTGTTTCTCTAGGAACTTTCCTGCAGGTGGGGAGGGAGGTATGCAGCTGACTAGTGCTCACATTTTCTCCCAGAAAAAAGAGTTTACTTAGAAAGCTTCAGATTAATCTGTTTGAAATTCAGGTCATATATTAAATTTCTTTCAGACAGATAATCAGCAGGAAACCAAAAGTTTTCAGATATTGTCTATTATCCTACCAATATTTCATCACTTTCAATGTAATTTGCAGGAAAGCAGAACACAGGTGATAGTTTTGATAGTTTTCCAAAGGGAGGAAGAAATATAACATGGTACCATTGGCTTCTTCTCTCTGAAATCCCTTAGTTTAAAAGGATCTATTCTCACTTTGATATGAAGCCACAGGAGACTCTGGAGAGGCCTTTTCATTCCTCTAGAACTCCTGGGGTGGTGCTGCAGGGTCAGCACTGGACTGCTAACCACAAGGTTGGTAGTTCAAACCCAGTAACTGCTCCTTGAAAACCTGTTACAGGGTTGCTGAGTCGGAACTGACTCGGCAGCATTTAACAACAGTCAACTCCAGAAGGAGCCCCGGTGATGTGATGGTTAAGTGCTTAGATGCTAAGCCTAAAGTTGCAGTTCAAACCATGGAAGAAAAGATTTGGTGATCAGTGTCTGTAATGAAAACCCTATGGACAGTTGTATTATGTCACATGAGGTGGCTGTGAGTTGGAATCAACTGGAGAACACCCAATAACAGCCAAATCCACCAGGGAAAGGCAGCCTCCTGGAAGGAGCTTGCCTCCCCGCCTCCCCACTTCTACCTCTACCCAAGAATGGAAATTCCCTGAGAGGTTTTAAGTGTCCATTGCAATGTTGGTCCAGCTGAGCATATTGCCACATAGCCAGAGTGTGCTCACCGCTGTGAATGAGGCTGGTAGAATAACAAGTTAGGAAGTCATCTCTAAGGAGAGCTCAGAATTGCTACAGATTCCTTTCTTGTGTTACATAGCTCAGTTAAAACTAACATTGTCACTTCTTCTTAAACTGCTGTTGCCAGATCTCCAGCGTTGCCAGCTACAGTGTTTCTAATTGTCAGTATCTAGTGGCTCCTGGGTTTTGTTGTTGTTTGTTTTACAGTAGGGAATATTTAGTGGATTTGTGAATTCATTTTTAGAGAATTCTGCATAAATTGAAATGAATATTTACAAAAGGAATTTGAAATCTTATCTTTTAATGTCTTCATAAAATGAGTTGAATTTAGTAACACTGAGCCAACAATTTGTTCAAAGAAATCTTTTATAAAGGTTCTTCTTAATGAAGTCCCTCCATTACCATTCCTCACTCCCACCCCAATTTGCTACAAAGTAAGTTCAGAAAACTGAAAAGTCTAGTGTGAAGAACCTTTGCTCTTTACCTGTCGCAGGCGTTTGTCTGGAGAGGTATCTCATCAATAGGGCGCTAGAAGAGAGGGTCAGGACTGGGAGTGCTGCTCCCCGACAGACCCCCGACAGACCGGAGGGATGAAGAAGGGCCATCCTTACCTTTCCGGGCCTGTTGGATATATCTGGCCAGCAGAGCTCCCAGGTGCGCTCTGGGCTCACCGTCCACCCTCTGCACAGCCCTCAGCGGCCTCCGGGGCGCTTCCTCTGCCTGATGCACCCCGGGTCCCACGGGATCTGCCGGAGGTGCGGGCTGAGCCAGGGCACCTGCCGCCAGGACCGCCATCAGTACGCACAGGCTCACGCAGCTGTTCATGTCTGTGGAGAGCAAAGACGAGGCAGTCAATGAAAAGGTGGGGACCCTGTGGGCGCCTGCGTGGAGCTGGGAGAACGGGGCACAAAAAAGAACTCAGCCCACGTCGGGGGCGCTCCGGATTGGCCAGGTTCGCAATGGCAAGAGGAATCGCTGCGCTCAGAACGGAGACTTTTTGCCAGAGCACCCGTGTCCCGGCGCACCAAGCTTGTCTTTGGTTAAACCACAGTCAGAGCTGGTGTAGCGCGCAGAGACATGCATAGCAGAAGAAATATTTTTGCGCTTTCCTTTAGATTGACGAAATGTTAGTAGAGCGTCTCTATTCTAACTGGAAAAGCAAGCGATTAAGAAAACGGGACATAATTCCTAAAGAGAAAACTAGGAGAAAAGAGACTTGTAAAGAAAGACAGCTCGTTTAAAAATAGCTAAGAAGCTTTCAGTAGGGAAATAAATGTTGAGAAAAGAGGTGGTGGTGGTTATGTGCCGTGGAGTCGGTTCCGACTCATAGCGACCCTGAAAGGGCTTTCCAAGGCTGTAAATCTTTACAGGAGCAGAAAGCCTCATCTTTCTCCCGCGGAACGGCTGGTAGTTTCGAACTACTGAAAATAGGAGCACAGTTTTAAATATGGGAGCAATAGATAAAACCGTATTTACAAAGTTTCTGCAAGATACATATGAAAACTGCCATCAAACCACTAGGCAAATATAGGTAAGGTTTAGAAAATCAGTAATATGTGCTCAGCCCAGATGCATTTTAAAGAGCAAAGCACTCGTGTTTCTGTCCCTAAAGCATTGATTTTGTGTGTGTGTGCACTATTTACAAAATCAATTTAAATAATTTTTAAACTTCTTATTTGGCGATTGCAAAGTACACAGCACCTCTGTGTAAAATCTAGCAAACCCCAATTCGAATGCTAATCATTTGCCAATGGATATTACAGCGTTGTGCGCATAAAGAGAAGATGCACGCGAGTGACCGTTTCTAAAACAGTTTCACCCACTCCGCATGCACTGTTAGATCCAGTGCCTTTGTTACTGAGTTTAAGAAATATCATTCCAGCGGTCGAGAAGAGATACGACAGCCGAAAAATAAATGGAAAGGGAGCACAAAACGGAAGACAGCATTCCTACGACAAAAGATCCTTGGATTAAGTCGCTACAGGGCGAACCTACCTTTGGAGTAGGACGCAGAGGGCTTCTGGTTCCTAGCAGAGTAGCCGGCGGCCTAGCCAAGTTCAGGGTCGGCGGTCTGCAGCCTCTTAAATAGCTCCGCCCGGCGCAGTGGTCCAGTCATCTGTTTACCCAGCGCTGACGCAAACAGGCAGCAACACGTGCTCAGTTGGCGGCCACTAGGGCGACTCTCGATTGAGGTGAGGGGGAAATGGTCCAGTAGAGCCCAGTTAACCCCTCCCCCGCTGGATGTCCAGTGGCCGTTCCGCCTCTCCTCCAACGTTATCCGGCTTCCTCACCCTCGCGTGTCCCAGCGCCTTGCTCCCCTAGGCAGGAGCCCTGGGAATCGGAGTTTCCTCCAGGATGGGGAAACTGCCGGCCTCGAAAACTCTTTAGGGTCCCAATGGCCCGGAAAGAGCATTTTGGGGAATATGAGGTTGGGTTGGGCGCCGGAAAAGTGTAATTCTGAGAGGGAATGTATTATTCCGGCCCCTCTCGGAGCACCCTAGGCAGGTTCAGGGAGGGAGGTTTGGACCCGGTGTCTCCAATTTTCCCCAGCTTCGCTAAAAGTCGCTGAAGTTCTCCAAGGTTTTAAGGGCACGTGCTTTTGGGTCACTGAATGAGCTGCGGCCACAACTGGCTGTGGGTATCCTGGGTCTCACTTTGTTGTTTTTTGTTAAGTGCCGTGGAGTCGGTTCCGACCCATAGCGACCCTATATAGGATTTCCAAGGAGCGACTGGTGAGCTTGAACCACCGACCTTGCAGTTCACACGGCTTTGCAGTCTGACTCATTAACCCACAGCGCCACACCCAGGGTCTCACTTTACTCAGGTATAAAATGGATGACGCTACTTGACTTTGCTTGGAGGAATCCAGCTGGGAAAAGCTCGGTATTTTCTGTGAAGCGCCAACACCGCCTCCCAGAGGCGCCTGCAGCTTCTCGCCGCCAAGTGGCGCTCAAGTGTCCCAGAGAGGTTTGTTTCTCACTTGCCGCTTCCTCCACGTACTACTTCTTCGAAGCCCGGCTTCATCCCCACTGAAAATGGGGCTGCTAGACTTGGAAATAAGGACCCCTCCCGCATCACTCGCCCCACTTCCCCGCGCGGTCGCGTCCCTGGCTCTAGACAACCGTGATCCGGAGTCAGTGTGCGCTCATGGTCTTCACCCAGGTCTTCATCCTGAAGCCGCTTAGGTTTAAATCGTGGAACTGGTGTTTAGGGTTACATCGTCCCGGCACAAGCACTGCCACCCCATTTCACAGACTGCAAACTGAGGCACGTAGAAGACTTGAGCCTATAGTCGTCCCACTATTACACTACCATGCCAAGCCCAGAATTCAGAAACTTTTCTTACAAATCCCTTATCAGCTTTGTCTAACGAGTGCTGAGGCTCTCAGGATGGCTGGTTTTTGGGGGCGCCTGTGTACAGCTTGAAAAGCCCCCCTCCCTTTCTAAAGTCTAGGGACAGCTTCGTTTCTGCAATCTAAAAGTGGAATTTCAAAACAGAGCAGTTGACTAAATGCTTTCTAGTGAGTTTCCCACGAGGCTGCTAAGTTTGTGTATAGTTTTGTTGGGGAAACTAGGTGTATTTGTAACCATGGCCAAGACATGTCTAGAAATAAAAACTTGTTATAGAGCAGTGGTTCTCAAACTTTAGCCTAGGGTGGTGGTTGCTCATGAGGAAGTAGGGGTGGCAGGAAGAAGTGATGGATGAGTGGAGGAAAGAGCCAGAGAAGGTGTGACAGACTGGCTGAGTGAGGGATTCCACCAGGTGAAGTCAAAGGGGACAAGGGCTCCGATAAATTGGAAGAAGGTCCCAGGCGGGGGAACTAGTTCATTTACCATAAAGTTGTAGCTACTTCACTCCCTGGAATGAACGTCCTCTGGAGGAAAACAACAACAAAAAGGAAGCTAATAGTAAGAATGATTTTCCTTCTTAATGGATTAGAGAGTGCTAATGTTTCTGATCCTTGATCTTTTTTTTTTTTTTAGTTTTTATTGTGAATTATGTGTTGGTTTATATGGGTGAACATTATCTTTGCATTCATCTTATCGTACTTTGTTTCACTGCAATGATCACAATCCTCTGCATGCATCATCAAACACCCAGAGGGCACAACTCCCCCCCTCCCCCAGCACACAACCCTTCTCCCTCCCTGAGTCCAGAGTCCCCAGCTGCTCCTTTGTCCAAGTCATTGCCTCTGCCTCCATCCCTAGTGTCACTGCCTCTCCAGACACTTGATTATTCCAGGGATTTCCGCTCCTGGACTGCAAAATCAGCAGCTCCCCTCCTTTTGTTACAAAACATTTACATTGACCTTTCCAACACTCACTGTCAGACCTGATAGCAATCATTCCCTAATGAACCACAGGAGTCCTTTCCACCTCACCTTTTATCAACCCCATCCAGACAAATTGGAAACAATTCAGTGGAGGTTCTACCATTCCCTGTATCCTCTGGAGCTAGGTTCCCTATTGAAAGCTTGTAAGCCAGTCACTTCTTGACTTTGGTGTTATTGTTGTTGTTAAGTGCCAGTAAAGTCGATTCCGACCCATAGTGACCCTGTATAGGGTTTCCGAGGAGCAGCTGCTGAGCTTGAACCGCCGACCTTGCAATTCAAATGGCTTTGCAGTCTGGTGCATTAACCCACAGCGCCACACCAGGACTTCTCTTGCCTTTGTAGTCCCGCCATTTTGGGTAGCCTATGTCTAACTTCCCCCTCCCTGTAGACCCTGTGTACCAAGGGGGTAAGAATGATCCTCAATGTAGAGATTTGTCTGCTCCTTTGTCTGACAATTCTTCTTAAGCAAGACCAGCTGCTGGGGTCTGGACTTTTCTTGTAATGCATACCTGCACTAAGGAGAATCCTTTCACTGACTAACTAATCTTTGCTTAATGCTTCCTAAGGTAGATGCTTCTGGCTAGGGATGCCCTAAGTTGAGCGGTTTTGAGCACAAGGACACCATTCCCACCTCAAGTTTCCAAACAGGTGTAGAGGTTTAGTTTGGAATGCAAGGCTGTTAACTCTTCTAAGGCCACCTCTCAACAAACAAGGGTTGGGAAGGAGCCCTGGTAGTGTAGTGAATAAGCAGTTCGAATCCACCAGCTGCTCTGCAAGAGAAAGATGAGACTTTCTGTTCCTGTAAAGATTTACAGCTTCAAAACCATATATAGTGTTGCTATGAGCCAGATCCGACTCGATGGCACATAGCACACACAACACAGCTCTCCTTACAAGAACTAAGATTGAGCTGCTAACAGCAACACCAATGGTTCAAACTCTCCAGCCACTCAGGGACAGTGAGGATGCTGTCTGCTCCTATAAAGAGTTACAGTCTTAGAAACCCTAAGGAGCAGTTCTACTGTATCCTATAGGGTCACTATGAGTTGTAATCAGCTTGATAGCAGTGGATTTGGTTTTGGTCTATGGATCATTCCAGAAGCTTCTGGAACCCTCTCAAAGCTTTTTGAGTCCCCTTTGCCTGCAGCAGTGACCTTGATAACATTCTTTTAATTGGCTTTTTCACCTTCTTTGTTTCTCTCTCTCTTCTCATTTCCTCATAGCTGCTCTCTAGGAGCAAAAGATTGATAATTTGAATCCACTAGCTAGTCACAACAGAAAAATAAGATCGTTTGTCTTCTTAAATATTACAGCCATGGACGCTCTATGGGGCAGTTCTCTATCCTATAGGGTCAGATGAATTGGCGTCCACTTGATGGCAATTGGTTATGGGCAAAATTATTAAGTGACACAGGAATCATCAAAATAAGGTCACGGTACTAAAAAGAATTGGTTGATGTTCTATTATTTCAGGAGGTACAATAGAATAAA